GAAAAGTTCGAAAATATTTTTGTTCAAAAATTACTTGAGGATTTAAAACAATCTGTAAAAGATTTAAACAAAATCGCATAATTATGTTTATGTGCTTTTATATATGTATGTACGTTAGACCGAAAATTCTAGAATTCTGTAGAAATTTTTAATAGAGTATTTGATATTAATATAATTTTTTAGAAATTTTTGTTATTGAACCGAACAAAAGATTTTTATCTATTTTAAAATTTTTGTACACAATTTTATATAAAACACAATTATACATATTTAGATTCATACGCATATTTGTTCGTGCGCAAATAAAATCATATTGCTTCTATAATTTAAATAATTGAGTGAATTATTTACAAATTTACATGAAAATTCTTGTTATACTAGATTTATGAGAAATTCTGACTTGATTCGATTTCCGGATAAAAAAGTAAAATAAAGTTAAATTGTGAACAACTCATCAAAAATCGTGATTTTATAATGTCATTCATAAAGAATGATAAAAACTGTAGAAATACTTAAATGAGAGATCTACGTCAATCGTGTGTCATTAAAAAATATGCTGTAAAAATAATTCGTTGAAAAATAAAGCCAATTCCAAAAAAGCATTTTTTAGTCCGTGCCACTAAAATTTCTATAACATTAACATTATATATTAGAATTCTACTGCCTTGTACTAACATAAGTTGGTCTTTTGTTAATTAATGTTAATAACTGATGATAATAAGTAGTTAATAATAAAATTAGAAAAGATTATAAAGGATTAAGGAATTCTTTAATCTTTAGAAAAGCATGAACTTCTAAATTTAATTAATTATAAGTTGTCTTCGACAACAATTATAAAATATATCGTTATACAAATTTTTTGAAAATATAACAGGAAAAAAAAGAACAATTTGGAAAAAATCAAAATGCAAGTTTGATTGGTTATAAGTTGAATACTTCTTCAATAAATATAATAATCGGTAGATCTTACAAATATATTTCTTTTTATATATCCTCAAAATAACTAACTCCATAAGACTTTTATAACCGTATTTATTAGAATTTTTAAGCACAACTTGTAAAGTGACAGTTTTAAAAAAAATTTTCTTCTTTTTTGTCGAAAAATGAAAAACCTTCGAAAACTGTAATCCATGATATAAAGGAAACACAGAAATAGCATGAGTCCAAATCCACGAATAAGATCAATAAACATGTAATCTCATATCATAAAATTTTTTTCCTTAATGGTAAAACGCGAGTACTATGATGGAAAAGAAACTTTCAAAACTGGTGTGTGTGTGTGCAATGTACAAAAAACATGTTATCAACACGTCAAACTAGCGTCGATGTCAAAAGCTTTTCGATGCGATTACTTGTCACTTGCATACCTTCCTGCGTCGTCTCGACGATGCCAACTTTTTGTTGATTTATTTTCATATTTTCCTTTTTCAAATAAGAAAGTTTGTTCCTCAACGAAAAGGATGCAGATACATCATTTTCAAAATTCGTTGCTTCCATAAACATTAACCTTTTCGGTCTACACGCTGACTATAATCAGCATTTTCGTAAACATTCATCCTGAAAAATGTATCGTTACAGGCACACCAAAAGGATAATTTATGTGATTTATATTATTTATGGTATTTATATTATTTTTGTATTGGTTTATTTTTTATATTTATGTACGACGAATATTATCCTGAAAAATTCCAGGCATGTAAAAAAATTTATTTTTGTTATTTATTGTTTGTAATTCTATTTATAACAATTATATCACTTGCGAATAATGTTTATTTCTTAATAAAATAATAACGTCGGCAAATAGAAGAAACTTCAAACGCTTTATAATACAAATGCACTTTGTTTTTTTACTGTATTATTTTTTCTAAAAAATTAATATAACATACTCTATAGAAAGAATAAATTTTTTTCTATTCTATTAGGAGAAATTGCTTCAAGCCTTTTTGATATAAATTATAGCAATAATAATACAATTACTGTTGACAGGTATTTTTACAAAATATAGGGTTTATGTATCTGGTTCTGGAATTTTCAGAATTCAATACTAGTTTATCTCGGAATACAGTATATGTTGCGTATCCTACGCAACGAGTGAGTAGGGCGAAGCGCCGGGGTGTGTGCGGCCCTGCCAAGGTGTGAGACACGCGCGACAAAGCAGTATCTTTGTTTTTGGTGRTAACCACGGTAGCGCCAAGATGTTTGTAAGGGCTCCTTCTTTCTTCTAGCTCGCGTTCTCCCACCACATTTATTACGCCAATCACATGTATCGACAGCCGCGTTATGCTCGGGCTTTTCGGTGATTGGTGCAGCATTGCATCGCTTTTTTGTATAAAGCCCAGCGCGTTCTTGCGCCTAGCAGCACTCTTGATGCATCACGCGTGATTCATCGCTCGAGATTCATCTAGCTTAGAAAGCTGAGACTTGCGAGAACTACTTCGAGGAGAATTATTTGTATTGCACAATACTACATCATTTAAGTTCGGCCAGCGACAAGGGACAAAGGCGGTCCTGTACTTGGCCAAAATTATCCTGATTTGTACGGATTCTTCGTCAACGTTTCAATCAGGGTTTTTATGCCGAAAGGCTTTTCCCTGACGAGCCAAATAAAGCGTACTTTTTAGTACTGACTGGGCTCAAATATATTTGTTATTGTGTTTTATTTTCCTATCCTCCTTCCCATTAATAAACAATCTCGATATCACCCGTGAGGGCATTTTTCGATTCACTACAATCCACTGGAGTACCGATTAAGGCATCAGTCGCATTACCATTTTTGGTCCTTCGAGCCGGATAGGGAGCTTCCTCCCCACTCTTCGTCCGGCGTCTATTGTGCATACAGTCTTCTTCAACGGA